ATATATATATATACAAATAAAGATTGAAGGTAACACAAGCATTTATAAAGAATCGGATTCGGAAAAAACCTTCGGGACAAATTCGGCGGACATGTAACATCTTGTGTACGTGTATTTTAATATTTTTTCTTTTTACTAGAAATTTCCTGATTCTCGATAAGATTTGTGGTAGCAAAAATTGGGGCGGGCCGGCCTGTCGCGTCGATTTAAACGTCGACAGGTCACCCTCAAGGCGGCGGCACTCGCAAATACCTATTTACAAAAATATACACATGAGCAACTTACTTATCCGTTACGCTTGATTTTTTGTTTTTTTTTTTTTTTTGTTTTCCCCTTACGCGTCTCGTGTAACGAAAGTTACCACGCGCTATTTTATTTTATTATTTTTTTTTTTTTTCGTTTTGGTGTCTGTGCACGCTTTCTCCCTTTCTTCCTCTTCTTTCCTTTTTTTTTTTCTTCTTTCTTTAATCGCACTATTTTTAATGTGGTGTACGCACTATGTGTAATTATTCGAATATTCTTTTTTTTTTTTTTTTTATTCCTCATCACTAGAACCTCTACTTATTTCCCCGTTTAATTCTAAGTAATGTAAATAATATGTTTATGTTTTATTTCTTCTGTTATCGTTTAACTTTGTTTTTCTTGTTGCGTATTTATTAATTATCTAATCTAAGTTACTTTTTTTCTTTCGTAACCTATCTACAAAAAAAGAGTCGTGTCCTTGTTCACAGACGTAAGACATTTTTAGTAGTAGTAGTAATAGTAGTAGTAGTAATAGTAGTAATAGTAGTAGTAGTAGTGGTAGTAATAGTAGTGTAATAGTAGTAGCAATGTTCTATCGGTTTGGATCAATTGTTGATCTTGTTGCTCGTGTTGCATCTCAATCCAAGAGAAATGCATCATCACACTAAATTTCTCCCATCCCTGCCTCTTCACCTCTTTATTTTTCCTCTAACTTCAACTAGTCCTCGCGATTTCCGCAGTCGCCATATTTTTCTTATTTTGTTTTCCGCTAAAAACAAAATGCCGGCGTGCGCGACGCGTTGGTTCTCTTTTCATTAAATATATTTTCATATCTATATTTTTATAATTATTTATATATATTTTATTATTTATATATATATATATATATATAGGTAATAAACTATATGCATATATGTATATTTTTGTGTATTCTTCGCACTCGAATCGCCAAGACGAAACTCATGCTTCAGGTAACGTCGGCTGCGGCGCACCGTAAAGCGAGAACACACGGGCGCTTCTGTGGCACTTCTAATTCCATCTTCTAATTCCTTTCTTTCCTTTATAATCCATCCTCTACTTTTTCTTTTGCATCTTCGATTCTATTTCATTTTTAATTTACAAAAATGATCAGTCCGAAAAAAATAGGGACCAGTGTACTCCCTCATCTTCTTCGAGCATCTATGACGCTCCATTTCGATCTCTTTTTCCTTAATTTTCACACACTCGTTCTCCATCCTCGTGTCGAAAATAAGTAACGCGTGCTATGCACAGAATAGAAGAGATTCTTTCTACGCACCGATCGTGGATCCACAACGATCTTTCTTCTTGACGAGTTTTATTCTGAATTGACTATAAAGTTGGTGCTCTGAGTTTTTTTTTTTTTTTTTTTTTTTTTTTTTAAATGCCAGGACACGCTTTCTTGAGTTCCCTGAACGAAGAAACGTAATTAGTCGAATTTTCGAATATCATATCATCGGCAACGCTTTCTTCGTTACTCCCCAGGCCACCTTGAATCCTTAAACCCCGTCAGAATAATCCTTATTCGTTGAAATGAGAACAGATTTCTCTCCCGATTTTCAACGTTTCTCCTAACGCGCGTTACGTTACTATAATCATACGATTGAGGATCGTACGTTTTCTAAATCTACTCCAAATCTCTTCCAAATAATTCGATTTCTTTATGTGTATATCGTTGGATACGTAGCCATATTTTGTGGGAGAGAAGTAATGTAATTCGGGGTGGGCGGTCGGGGGCTATGCCACTGTGGTCAGAGATCTCGAAGCTTCTTTATACCAGCTTGAACGTAGCGTACCAGATCGCGTAAAGAACTTTTCAAAGTGAGAGGTCCCAATTTTTCATCCAGCTCGATGAAAAAATCTGTAAAACGAAAGAATACAAGAACATGTACATTTCTTTCTACTATATATATATATATATCAATAGAATTACGAATGATTAATAGAACCGAAACACTCACCTCTATGTTTATCCGTTACCAGAGCGTTTGCCTGGTCCCAGAGATCGTGACAGCTCACCAATAAACTGAAATGATGATTCTGTTTCGCCATAGCGTTGTGCACGTTGAGTGGAACGCTAACATACGGAGCAGGTTGCGGTTGGCCCGAAGCTGCTCCCCGATTCGCTAGTTCGCCGCTACTGTATCCGGAACTCTGACTGCCAACGGAACCCACGGAACCGGCGGGTGACGGTGTCGGTGATAAGGATGGCGTTCCTTGTCCCTCTGGCTGAACCGTTGTTGCCTGAGCAGGCTGTGGAAAAAATAATAAGATTTATTTATAAATTATGTATTTAATTCGCTACGTATACAACAAAGTATTCGATCGCAACACCCACCTTTTGATGATAATCGTTCAAAATTTTTTGACTCTCTTTGATCTCGTGTCTTCGCATCTTGAACAGTTTCAAGTATATAAGAGATTGGCAAAACAGACTGGAACAAACGAAACACGACAACGTTTTTGAAACATGCGCTTACGCTTACTCGTACAATCGCGGGAGGGGGGGAAAAAAAAAGCTCAAAGTGCGTACTCACCTCAAAATGGCCAGTTTGTTGTGTATACTGCTCTCGGGCGAGTTGTTTTGCTGGCTCTTGAACTTGGAGGAAATATATCTAAACAGAGGGAAGAGAAAATCAGAGATCGCTTTAATTAGGAAATACTCTTCGGTCGTGGTTAGCGGTTAATTAGAGATGTACTTACCTGATGAGACTGAGCGTATCCCTATACATAGTAAACGACGCTCTCTCCGTGAGAGGATCCGACTCCATAGCATTTCCAGTAAGTAAAAAGCATAACACGGCTTCTAGGTAAAGCATACCTTGCGCCGTGAGCTCGCACTCCTTATCGGCGCTGTGCTTCAGCCGCTTTGCTTCCATCAGGTACTGATTCTGGTCCCTGAGGGGCAACGAATTAAAAATGATTATTACACGGGCGAAATTATTATTCACGGGAAATAGTTTTCATCAAACGTTCGTACTCACCACCTATCCTGATCCTCCAAAACTTCGTTTTGAGGATTGAAGTAGGAGTAATAAATACGCTGAGGCGGCGGTGGTGGTGGCAATAAACTAGTGTCAGGCTTTTCTTCCCGTTCGTGATTCGTAGGTTGAATGTCATTTTGCTATAACGAGAATTGAGAGATTGATTATATTAATCTCAAGTCTGAGAAAAAACGTTTCGAAAAGAAATTGATTCGAGAAAAGCAAACCAATATATATATATATATATATATACCTGACTGGAAGATGGCCTCGATGAAACGGTAACAGATTCGACGTCGCCATGTTTCCTCTTTTTCTTCTTCCTGTCTTTGTGCTCTCCCGACCCTTTCGTCTTCGTATCTATGGAACACACAGTACTCAAACTGGACACAGAACTACAACTCGGATTACGTTTCCTCTTGGGCGCGTTACCCGTACTACTAGCACCACTTGCTCCACTAGCACCTGCACCGACGACACCTGCGGCGAGGCCTATACCACAATTACTCTTTCCGTCCGATATAGGTTCGCCCTTGATCACAGCGCGATTTTTAAGATCACTGTCGACCAGCAACGCGTCACCGTGAATCCTCGCGTCCTGTTGAGGCGGCGGCGTGTCGACAATCTCCCCTTCCTCCGGCGTAGGCGGTCGAGAGGGTTGATGCGTCAGCGTCGAGGCTTGTCTGGAGGACGGCCTCGTATTTGGAAGTTCTGTGCGTTGTCTCAACTCTTGACCCCTCGATAACTGCGAGATATGCTGAAGTTTGCTCAGCTCGATTCTACAATACAAACTCGGCACGCCGTTCACGCGCGTGAGCGGAGGGAAAGATTGAGTCACGTTCGACGCCTGTGACGATGGTCTCTTGTACGGACTCTCCCCGCCTGTCGGTGTATTCGCGGAGGTCGTATACTCTTCCACAAAAATGCCGCATTTCCCACCGCCTTTACCACCTTTACCCCCCTTACCACCGCCCTTCCCTCCCCCTATCGAAGACGAGAACACCTTTCGAAGAGTGTCGCTCTTCTTCTTGTCCTGTACGTTACCCGCGTCCTCTTCTTGCAACTTCGGACCCGGGCTGTTGTCACTGTCCGAGTTTTCCGGAGAAGAATCTCGGGTCGGTGGGACTCTCGGCCTCGGAGGTACTCTGCACCCACAGAAATTCCGAACAATCGATTTTAATCGTAATTCCAAACAAATATTTACGTACCTACTTATTCAAGATTACAATTACAAGAATACTAATAAGGATACTCGACTTATATTACAAGCTTAATCAAAGCTTAAATAGTTACCTGGCAACCTGGATACGATTCCTCACTATTTCCGACTCACTGTCGGAATCGGATCCATTGTTCACCCGCGAGTTGGACCTTCTAGGTTTCGCCTTCGCGGGGCTCTTTTTCTCCTGTTTCTTCGGCGAATCCCCCAACTTGCTTCTCTTGATATTGGTCATCCTTCTCCAACGCGAGGTGTCGTCCTCGGACACGTTGTTGTTGTTGTTGTTGTTCTTCCCCTTGGGCGGGCTTTCGTCTTCGCTCGAGGAACCGCTCAATCTAGACCTCCTCTTGTCGTTCATAGCCGCCACTCCAGGCGACACCCTGGTCGGTCGATCGCTGTCCGAGTCGCTCGACGCCCCCTGCGACCTGTCGTCGCTCTCATCCTCGCTGGTAGATATGTTCGCCTTGGAGAGGGGCGGTTTCTTCTTCATGTGATTGCCCACCCCTCTCGTTCTGCTGCGAGGTTTCCCGTTCTTCAAACTCTCGTCCGACGTTCGATGCCCGGCTTTCGGATTCGTCGGTTTCCTCGGTCGGCCGCGTTTCCTCGCGTCCACCTTTGGCTTCTCAGGCTGCGCCCGATTCTCCTCCACAGGCTGGCCCTTCTCCTGATCCGAGGGCCGATCGCTGTCGCTGTACAACACGCTCATCATGGTCATGTTGCGGGTCCTTTTCAAGGCCTCGTCGAGCTGCCAGTCGTGCGCCGTCTTGTTCCTGTGCGCTCTGGCGTCCACCGTTGTCACCATAGGGGAATCTTGCCGCCTGTTGCAATCCTGCGAATATTTGAAATTACCCGAATGAAATCGCTCCGATCGGATCAAAGCCACGGCGATTTTCGAAGATGAAAATGGAAATCGAATCAGATACATATACATAAGATAGAAAATCGAAAAATTTCGCATACCTGCGTCTGTTTGTTCTCCGAATTCTGTTCCCCGTGGGGCATGGCATTCGTCTTATTGAAGAACGACTCCAAGTTCCAACTCCTCGATTTCGGCTCCTCGATCGCAGGCGGTGGTTCCTCTATCATGTTTTCGTTCTTTGGTGACACGGAGGGAGGGGTGGAGGGCCCTTTCGTGGGCGGGGGGCTGGTTTCCTCCTCGGAATCGTCGCTGCTGTCCGAGCCGGAGTCGGAGCCGGTGTCGGATGTGGAGCTCGCGCTTCCGGAGCTCTGCATCGCCTGGCCCGAAGGGCTGGGCGGCCTCTGGTGCGTGTTGGGGCTCGGGGACCCCTTCGATTGCAGGGGGCTGACCGGTGCAGGCGAGATCACTTGCTCCGGCGTCATCTGTTTGGGCGGTGATGGAGGCCTGCTCGGGCTGAGCGGCCTCGTGGGCGACAAAGGGCCGACCGGTGACGGGCCCATGGGCGACATGGGCGCCAGGGGCGGCGGGGCAGGCGTCATCGCCGGTATCGATAAACTGCGCACGAGTGAGTATCTGCGTTGAATCGTTTGAAACGGATTCGTGATCGATAACGGGGAGAGAAGGGGCAGGGAGGGAGAGGGTAGGGAGAGAGAGAGAGAACGAATATTGGTTTTTTGGAAGCGAATATTTTCCGTGGATTGTTCATTGTACCGTGTTATCGTTGGTAAATTGATTTCTTCGAGTTTATACCGGGTTGGCCGGTTTTTTAAAATTCCCGAATAAAACGAATAATTTCGAGTGGGTGGAATTATATTTATTATAAATTCGAATTCACACCCGACCGACGATATTTGGAATAAGGGAAAATGATAAAATTATTATTTGTAGCGCGCGTGAACGAAAGAGTTATCGATACAATTTTTTTTGCGATATTTAAATGTCAATATTTATAAACACGTGATTTTGAAAAGGTGGACGCAAGAATACAAATTCGATCAAATACGGATTAGATGGGAGAAAAGGATAAAATAAAGTTGGTAATTAGATACGAATAACAGGGCGCATTAATTTTGGAACGAGATAATCGAACTGTGTAACAGGGGCATTAATTGGCGGGCGTATCGACAAACGGATACTTACTCGACCGTGAGGTCGGGGCTTCTGTTTCCCCTCGTTGTCCGCGATGACGTTTCCTGCGAAAGAAAACGATTACCAATTAATTTCATACGAGAGAATGTGATTCCCTTCCACCTCAAACCAGTTTTCTCTCCGATAATTGTTATCAATACAAAATATCAACTTAAATATCCAATAATAATCACGCGAAACGAGATATCAAACGAGCGTATAATATCTTTATTTTTTTTTTTTTACCTTGCTTGCCTCATCCTCGCTGTCCTCGCTCAGGCTTAAATCGCGTTCCAAGTCCCTGCAACGGAAAACAAAAAACGGGAAATTTACATATTATTCTGGATAACGAAAAATTGGGATTAAACGGGAGAAGATTTCGTATAACTCGTGTCGTCTCGATCGTTAGATTCGATCCTCGAATTAAATAATTGAATAAATTCGAAAGGAGCGGAAATGAAAAGAATCGTGTCTCTATAGCCATTATCGGTTAGAATCGAGGAGAAGAAGAAAAAGAAGAGGAAGAAGGAGGAGAAAGAGAAAGAAGAAAAAAGAAGAAACGCGTTCGAAAGAAAGGAACGCGTGCCGCGAAGCAACCTGTAGAACACGAACGAGAGGCTTAGGTTGGAAACAATCGTTCATTGATCTCTGAAACTGCTGTTTCACGCACGCCTCTCCTGTTTTCTTTGTCACTTAACCGTCAGCAAGTTTCGCTTTCCCTGCTCCCACTTTCGTTTTCCATTTCCAAACATTCGATCGATCTATATTATCATAATCCGCTCTCGCGCGGTTAAAACAACAATAATATAACCCATGCCGTTCTTCGCGACCTGAGAAATTGGAGAATTTAAAATTCAGGGCAAATTAAATTTTCTCTAAATAATAATAATAATAATAATAATAATAATAATAATAATAATAATAATAATAATAATAGACGATGAGGGAAGAGCGGTGGTATTTAACTGACGAAACGAGAGTGCATCGTGAAGCGTCGTGAGCGAGCAGGAAGAGGACGAGGAGGAGAAGAAAGAAGGGAAAAAAATAAAGAAGAGGGGTCCTTTCACCCTCGATCGGAGAGACACGTAGAGAGACGCCACTCTAAGAACGGTTAAAGCGCGGCGTGGAACAGGAGGGAATGGAAAGCAGCGAGAGAAGTAGGTACGGGGAGGCAACGAGAGGAAAGAGAGGCGAGGCAGATAAAGAGGGAAAGTGTAGACCGAACGCGGATGTGCGGAGGGTCATCGACCCTAAACACGCTGTCCTGCGTCCTCCTCCATGTCCGTGGATATGGCTGACTAGCCGTGTGGTTAAGTCTCGGTTTAATCCTTCCTTCCTTCCTTCCCCTCTGCCCTCCTCCCAAACGAATCGAAATCGTGGAAAATTCTTGAATCGAGGCAAGAAAAAACGAATTTCATCGATTTTTATTCATTCGATTTTATCGATTTATTAAGCGAGATCCGGTTGGAAGTTTTGATTGACTTTGGAACTGAGAGCTGCGAAGAGGTCGAATGGAAGGGAGGATGGTATAAAGTGGACGGTTTTAACGATCGTGGATCGCGACCTCGTGGGAACCCTTTCAATTTCGACGCCGCGCCGTTCGTTACTTTCCACGGACTCCTTCTCTCCCCCCCACCCCGAGGGGGGAAGCGACAGCCGCTTTATCTTCTATCGGAGCGCGAAGGAACGGAAGAAGGCGTACAGCAAAGTGGCGTTTAGCGAACTTCAACGATCTTAATCTCGCCAGATCCCCTCCCTCCTCCCTCCTTCTTTTCTTCGCTTTTCTGCTCGATCGGTTTCAAAATTTACCGACTGGAACAAAATTCCAAAAAACGGGCGAAGAATTGGCGAAAAATTGCGACAAAGGAGAAGGAAAAGGACAGAAAAGCTCTGTCGAAATCCATTCCCATCTGTCATCGTCGTTTTAACGTCGCATCGCGGTTCCGGGTAGATCCGTAGCGCGATCCACCACCGAGTTTTGCTCGGTGGAGAGGGAGGAGAGAGGAGAAAGAGAGGACGCGCGAGACGAGGGGAGGTGCGCGGTTCGATCGCAAGGAGAAAGAGAGCGCATCCGGCTCCCGTGGGAGGCCGTGTGAACCGTTTCCGGAGGAAAAAGAAAGGGCCGCGACATTATATTACGGCCGTCCTTTCATCGAATTAAACGCTTTGACGACGACCCCGTGTAATTGGCAACGGGAAAAAAGGGAGCGGAATTTCCCGCGAATCCCATCTCCCTTTTCGCCCAATGGAATATTTTACTGAAATCCGGTTATCCGGTTTCGTCCGTCGATTTCAACGTTTGCCCTCCTCGTCGAGATCTATCCTACCTATTCGGCCAAGAGGGGGCGTAGTCTCGATGGAGATGTTCTCGATGGATGTTCTCGATGGAGTTTACGCGGAATGGACACGCGACATTGTCCATCGGACGACTATATATATATATAGAGAGAGAGCTCTGACGATAGAGATGGATAAGCGATATAAATATAGGTAGATAGACAGGGAAGGAGAGGTAGGAGCGTCACGCGTGTCCATTGTCTCCGGTAATTGAAGCGTAGGTTTTCTAGGAACGAGAGGACTCTAAAAAGAGGTAGATCGAACGCGTGCACTCGTACCTGTGAGGGGAGAGAGAGAGAGAGAGAGAGAGAGAGAGAAGAACAATCGTCGGTCCGGTCGGTTCGCCTATTATCCATTAGCTCGTCTCCGCCAGTCTCTATCTGTCCGATCCGGAGACAGGGCACGTGCTCGCGGAACACGCTCCATGAATCTCACTCCGCGAAGAGTTGCCACCAATGCACAGAGAATTAATTAAGCCGGGTAAACGCGGAGGAGCACGTAAGCAAACGAACCGTTTAGAGAGCGGTTTACCTAATTACTGAATCCGAATGGGCGAGAATCGGGTCGAGAACAGGTTGGAAAAGTATCTGGAATTGTGTCGCCTCTTAAGTGGTGGTAGAAAACGTCGTTCCTATGTTTCTATCTCGAATATATACATACACATATATATATATATATATATATATATATATCGCGCGCATAAGGAGAGCAGGGTAATTATTCGAGTGGAAGTTACGAGTCGCTACCCAAGGACGTTCGAAATGGGAAGGGGGGTAGTAATCAACGGGCGAAATAAGGGATTTTTCGAATGGCGAACGATGGATGGATGGATGGATGGATCGAGTTCGAGTTGCATAACATTCGAAGCGAGGAGAGTTTGGACGAGGATTGAGGCGGGTGGTGGGCAATTCGGGGATCGCGTTCCTCGTGCGCATTTATAGACGGTGGTGGCGGTCGCCGACTGCGACGCTAAGTTTCTACCGTCTATTAAAAACAGGGACGACGAGGCGCAGGAAGCGTGGAAGGAGGCCGCCGGTGATGAAGGACGGACGGGGGAGGTGGGCGAAGTGGAATCGTTGGAGGTGGTGATGAGGCACGGAAGAGACGAGAGACACACAGAGACAGAGAGAGAGAGAGAGGGGAAGAAAGTCAGTGGTAGTGGAACGTAGAATTCCAGACTAGCGAGTCTGCCTGTTGCGAATAACTTCGGAAGTTCCACCGTGTATACCAACGTGTTTCTCTCTCGCCTCCCACTTTCGTCTCTCTCTCTCTCTCTCTCTCTCTCTCTCCTCTTCCTCCTCACTGCAAATCTACCTCGTCTCTTTTCGCCCTTCGACGCTCGATTCTACTTCTCCGTCCCGCTGCTTCCCGCAGCTCTTCATTTCCCCCCCTCTCTCTTTCTCTCTCTTTCTCTTCTTTTCTCTCCTCGCTCGTTTTTAACCCTCTGTACACGGATATGCACCTATACCCAGTGCTCTCTCTCTCGTCATCGCGACCACTCCTCGCGTTTCCACCCCCTCGGTCGGCTCCCTTTTAACCCCTTATTACTTCCCCTTGCTTCACCGCGATTCCACTGTCTCCGTTCCTTCTCTCCTCCGCTATATGCTCCCTCCCCCGCGGGCCCCTCCACGCGTTTTCCTCCCCGCTCGTCGCTTCGTTTCGGCTTCCAACGATCCCCCTCCGCGCCCCCTCTTTTTCCCTCGGCCGCTTTGCCTTTTCCGGATACACGCCATCTGCATCCGAGTTACCTCTACGCGAGCCATCTCCGCTCTGCGCGGATGTCTATCCCACCATCTTCACCCTGCGTCTTTCCTCCCGCCAACGGCATCCAATCCAACCCCCCCCGAATTCGTTTCCTCCTCGCTTTTCAGACTGGAAACGCCGCATCTGCTCGGGGAAAAGTCGAGGAAGACGCATCTGTCGCGTGATTTCGCGAGGAATGTGGAATCGAAACGGTCAATCGGAGGAAGGGAGAGGAATTAAGCGAAGTTGGTTAATTGTCAGATGCTATCGGTTGCGTATCGATAGCGGATTAAATTCAAAGAGACGATAAGGGGATAAGTGTGAAATACGAGGGATCAAACGATTAACGTTGGATCGACGAATCGAGAGAATCGTGAGAGGAGAAGCCGAGAAAAAAGACAAAAAAAGAGTGACGGAGCTGCGCATCACAATGCATCGAGGAAAATTGAATTTTTGCCGTAGTTTTCGAGAGGCTCCATCGCCTGCGTCAAACGCTGCTTCGCGCTGATCTTTTTCTTCCTTTTTTCGAAAATTTTAAAATACCTGAAATTCGAAATTCTTTGAACGAGATTGGCAGACGTATCCTGCCGGGAATCCTCATCGTGCGGAAAAAGTGGAGAAACAGCGTCGAAGGAAATGCGCAAACATTTAGATTTAATTAATTTCGCGGAGAGAAATAGAGCGAGAGATTTATAACAAGCAAAGTCGTAAAAATATATATTCCAATCGTCGCGTTCATTTCATATTCCCTTAATATTCTGAACGAAAAATCCTCGAATTCTCAACGACGAATCGTCAAAATTAATTCTTTCCTTCTCTCGCAATTAGCCTTTGATCGGATTTAATTCGCTCGGTTGTTTGTGACACGGGTGTCGCCGGTCGCCGTAGACGACCGAGTTAATTTCGTGGCGACCGCGAAAATAGACGCAAATCAAACGGTCCCCGACGCCCCTTCGCCGTCGATCGACGCCACGTCGCCACGTTGAAAAACTCGCGTCCTCGCAATATCCGCGCCCACCTGTCCCTCCACCCTTCTATTAATAAAACTTCGCCGCCACGCGGGAAACCGCGACGAGTTTATTCCACCGCCGATCGTCCCGTCCCCCCTCCCTTCTCCAACAATTTTACATCTCACAACGAAACTTCGAATCGCGCGAACCGTACGCTCGAAGAGGAAAAATTCTCTTGAGCAGACCACGCGTTTCGAAGATACCGCGCCGAAGGCCATCGCTTCCAAAATTATCCTTGGAAACGCCAATTCTTCGCCGATCCTCGTCTCTTGATTCGCCCAACTAATTTTTCTCCGGCCGTGAGATGAAAGAGAATGATATAAACTCGTTTCCCGTTCACCAGTAAGTTTCAAGTAAGTTTCGTTAGAGAGGGAGCAAGAAAAAAAAGATGGAAAAGAAATTCGAATTCGGGTGTATCGTGTTCGTTTAAACGGTTCGATTTTGGTTTGGAAAATTTGGGGGGGAGAGAAAAGTGAGATAAATCGAATAACGACACGCTTATTCCAACGAAATTGCTTAGGAGCGCACCGGTGTGGCTCGATTCAACGCCGATAAATCGACTAACGCGAGCCCAGTCAGTCTCCTCTTTGCCCCTCTATCTGCCTTCGTCGATCGGGAGCGTCCCTCTCTCCCGAGAAAACGGGAAGAATTTCGGCCAGCTAAACCTACACCTCTCGGTGTAGGGGAGGGGCGGGGCGAGGAAGGGGTATATAACGAGATTCCTCCGACCTTCGATGACGGCTCCATCGTTTTAATTCCGGAAGCCGGAAAAGCACTTAAGAGCGAACAAACGAAGAGTTATGGGGAGTCGTTGGTACTCGATCCAATTGATCCGGTTTAATCCTCGTCTTAGTTAACAAACCGTGGAAAAGTCGTGGCGTATCCTGAGAGAGAGAGAAGAAGGTGCCTCTTTCTCTCTCCTTCTCCCATTCGCTCTTTTTCTCCTCCTCGAATTCCAAGAATCGCAACCTTCCGCATACATTTCATCCCCTCGATGGGTTAGAATTCCAGGGCTCGAGTAATCTCGAAATGAACGAGTCGATCAATTTTTCTATTCTTCCTAACCAAATCCTTGCCCCACTCGTCGGAACCGGGGGGAAAGGATATCCCGGCGCAAGGACGACTACGTTAACTCCGTTTCTAAAAACGACGATTGCTACGAGACGGGTTGAGAGAAAGAAAAAGAGGGGAAGAGAGAGCGCTTTACTTATTCCACGGTTAAGTATCGCGGAGGTTTATTATTTTGATAACCAGCAGCGGAGATTGTTCGAAACGGTTCGCGACGAGAATTTACTTTAATCCGAGCCAAGATCCCGGTCCGAAAGGTCAGGGGTTAATTCGATAATTTCGATTAATTTTACGAGAAGAAGCTTATCCTCGAGGTAACGACTGTCTCTCTCCCTCTCTCTCTCTCTCATTCCCTCTCCTCGTCCATTCCCTCGGCGGGTGAAAATTGAATTTAACGAATTACGCGGGCCCCGTTATTACCATCGAACCACCATCACCGCCACTGTTACCACGATTTCAATGAATCCTGTGCAAGCGATACTCTACTTCTGATTATAATTCGGTAGGTTCGATAGGCAACAACGCTTCATCGATCTCTTCTCCCCCTCTCCCTAATAATAGCGGATAATTAATTAACCTTGCGCAACCTTGTAACGCGCACGCATACAAACACACACACACTCGCGCGGTAGCGTGCTCGTTTAAAAACTTGAAAGGCGATAATATCGATAAGCACGTTAGATCTTTTAACGTTGCGGGACGTGATTCCTCGCGCACGGCGAGCTTCCAACCGCGGATTATCGTTCCCCGCTCCGATAAATACGCGAAATATGTTTATCAAGGCGCAGTTAATATAACGTACGTATATAAGTAGCCGAGTTGATAAGTTGGCTGGCACGCGATAACCGCGCGCGCGTGCGCGTTACGGAACGAAGAGGGGGAGCGGTGCTTTGGAGAAGAAGAGACAAAGAGAAGGGATTAAAAGAAAGAAAAAAAAAAGAAAAAAAAATGTCCCGCCGTTTTATCGCGATCCAAAGCGGATAAACGAAATCCCTTATCGCGTTGCACAGAGCCTGAGTCCGGCTTTATCGGATATTAGACAAGGCCGCTCGAGTCGGTTTCACCCGATAACGCACGAGTTTCTCGCGTTGTTGCATAGCGTCGTCGCTTCTTCGTTTCCTTTTATCGAGCGCGCGTGCGATCGAACGCGTTGCCAAATTTCGAAAATTCGATTCGAGGAAAAACGAGGCTTCTTTCTCTTTTCTCTCGATCGCCACCCTCGGCTTTTCTTCTCGACGGAATTCTCGGCGAGTGAAACCAAATCGAACCGGATCGATTAACCGGAAAGGGTTATTATTTTGGATCACGTTCGAGGCAAGAGACGGACCCAAACTGATTATTATCCGCGATATAAAATTCACGGGACGTTCCCGGGAACGATCGGTGATGAAACGAGGCGAAAGAAAGGTGGACGCACCTGTTTCGAAGAAGAAGAAGAAGAAGAAGAGTTTGAAGAGGCACGATGGCGATTACGGGCCAGGAAACAATTAGGGCCGATGATACACGTCCGACTACCATATCGCGTGCACACGGCCGATCGAGAGAGAGAGAGACAGAGAGGGTCCCCTTCCTTAAAACGCAACGGTGTTAATTCGAACGAGTTTCGCCTCTCTTCCTCATTCCCATCCAATCTCCCGCGAAACAAGCTCCTCCATCGTATACGATCTCCACTTTTACTCCTCCTCGTCACACCTCCCTTGATTCGCGCCCCATTGCCTCGAGATCGATCGATCGATCGATCGAATCGAACGGCAAGCAAACCGTTCGTACGTATGATCGTTTAAACCGATTTAAAGCACGTCAACGAGGGGAGAATCGCGGGGAGAAACGAGTCGAATCCGTCTATCTGTTTACGCAACACCGAGTTTCCGAGTTTCTCGGCGGCGAAGTCACGTCGGCCAACGCGATACGACCCAGTTCCGAGATAGACCTCAGCAGGGCTATTAGGGACAGGGGTAGTAGTACGGTGGACGAAAAAGCGACGAGGGGTGAAAGTGGGAGGGACGTGTCCTGCCTACAGTTTCGAGTCAGTCCTCTCCTTCCTCCTCTTTTCTTTCTTGTTCCCACGACGGGAAATGGGGGGACGATGAATGCGCCAGGATTTCAGGAAATTGTCCGACTTTTGATCTCTAAAGGCCACTCCCCCCTCCCCATCTCTGTTAATCGCAATATCACCGCTCCCTCAAACATTTCTTATTTCTTTTTTTTTTACTTACGAGGATGTTGGCTACAATCACGTTCGCAATAATTTCGTTTCGCGAGACCGGCCAAGATCGAGAAGAGATTAAAGAAGGCAAAGTAAAAGATGCTATTGGTATGCAAATTGAATAGGCGCGACATATATACGTATACGTTTCTAATTAACCATTCACGAGATTATCGTGGCCGCACACTACCAAATGCTACGTAGTTAAATACTACGTAGTTACGAGATTTCATCTCGGAATGTGGGAAAAAGAGTCTACACATCTATCTACACCGCGTTCCCCGCGCGTCACGTATCGTAAATAATTCGATCGGAGCGTGTTACCACGCTTAGGCGAAAAATACTCGCGGCAAGAAGTTAGATTCGCGGGGAAATTAATTCTTCGGTGGAGAAGAAGAGCGATTGGCGACGATGGATCCTGCTTCGTGAAAGGAGGGAAACGGAAGGCAGCTTCCTCCTCCACCTCCCGACCAAAACGTGGGAAGAAACTTTCGACCATCTTCGTCCCCGATTTTTCGTCCATTTTTCTCCCGTTTTAATTCTCGACGGGATTAAATTAAATAGTGCTGGGATCGTTTCGTGAGAAAGAAAAAAAGAAAAAAAAGAAAGGCGAAACGCGGAAAAAAGCGCAGAGGGATCGAGGGCCTCGATCGAAGGAAGAATTTAATTGAAACGCGGCAACACGCGCCAACATGATTAATCCCGCTTTTGACGGATTAATTCTCGTTAAACCGGTTCCCGCGCCTCCTCCTAATATCGAGCGCCATCTATGCCGCGCGATTTAGCGACCGAGAGCGTCGTCGAGTGGATTCGTTCCCGGCCTCGTTAAAAATGTCCGTCTCCTCGAGTGGACGGGAGACGTGGAATTCGCGGGGGGAGGGGGAAAAAAATCTCCGTCATCGACCGTTTCCGCCATTTCTCCCTCTCTGGAGATAATTAATCGGTCGGGACAGATTCGAACAATTTCCACGCGACTTTCTTCTTTTTTTCTTCGCTTCTCCAGTTGCGGATTATTCAAAAAAAGAAAGAGAAACAGAAAGAGAGAGAGAGAGAGATAGAGAGAGAGAAAGAGAGAGAGAGAGAGAGAGAGAAATTCGAATGATACGATACTTACGCCGATAGCCTATTAGCAGTGTGCCGGTCGCGTTCTGAAACAGAGAAGAAAAGGGATGGTAATTAGCATCCATGGCTAAGTTAATTAGCGTGTGATTATCGGCGTTCAAGGACGGGGAACGAGGCGAGCACGGCCGATCCTATCTTCCCGGCTGACATAATGACATCGTTACACAGAGATTCGTTCCCCGATGTGGCCGACAAGAAGCGCGATAAACCGTGCCGCGTCGCTGGTCGTTCCGTTCGATAACGACGGAGCGACGCGACAAGATAGGAAAAAAAAAAGGAAAAAAAGAGCGGCCGCGATCGATCGATCGATCGTCCACCTCGTCCTCGACAACCTTATTGCGCTAATAAATATTCGTCGAAATCGGGAAGGAAGCGATCGGAGGAGGGACGCGCGAAAGCTCCTCTCCCGAAAGCTCGTCTTCGTTCTCGATTTTTCGTTGGAATTTTAGTTAGTCTCGCGCGACGAATCAATTAGTCGTTACGCGTGCGCAAACGTAACGGCGCGAAATGTTCACGCTTCGATTCGATTCGTTCGATTCGCGTAGCAGCGAGGATCGGTTCGAAAGTAAAAGAAAAGAACGGAAGAAGGAGAGAAAGAAAGAATGTTGACATCTGGCGGGAAAATATGATTTTCATACGAGCAGACGGTTTCACGACTCGACTCACTCGATGGTTCCTTTTCATCTGGAGAAAAGAAAGAGAGAGAGAGAGAGAGAGAGAGAAATCAATTGTGAAGCTGTGAAAGCAACGCGGTGCGCGCTAGGGAACGTGAAATCTTTCGAGAGATCCCCGAGCGAGGATCAATTCGTTCGACGCGGTAACCTTGCCGACACCGTTGCTCGAACCAGCTCTCCCTCCCCCTTGGAAACGCGAAGGAGAAAGAGAGGAAGAAAGGAGCTGGCGGAGGAAAAGAGAGGCAAACGCGAACCCGGTCGAGGAGGCATTGCGTAAACAATGGAAAGCGACATGCACGCACGCACGCACGCACGCACGCAGGAAGGAAGGCAAGCAGGCTGGCTGGCTGGCTGGCTGGCTGGTTGGCTGGTAGGCAGGCAGGCACGCACGGAGCCAGCATGGGAAAGGGGACTCTACTACCTACGATCAGAGGAGGACAGGCTGGTGGGACTGGGTCAAAGAGAGAGAGGGTGAGAGCAGGAAAAAGGGGAGGCTCGACCTCGTAAGAGAGGGTTGCGCGCGTCTTAACAACGAAACTGCCACCAAATTCGATCCCTAACAACGGATGCTCTTCGCTCCGATCGAATTCAATCTCTTTGGTTTTTTCGAAAAAATATATACATATATAAAAGACTCCTGGATATATATATAAATATATA